TTCTAGGGATAAGTGGAGGCTGGAGAATTTTGAAGCAGGAACATTTGGTAGGACAAGAGCTTGTAAACTTCTGTTCTCCCTCTCATCAGTTAATTTATCTACAGGCTGCAAAGGTGACACCTCCACTTAACTGTTACTAAAGTGACAGGGTGACCCCTAAAGGGAGAGTCAGGCGTAGTATGGAGAAGTTTGCTTGGCTTTAAGAGCACAGAGCACCCCCACTCCTAAACACACACACACACACACACGCCCCTACTGGGGTTTCACTCATACAGGGAAAGGCAACTGCCTGCCTATCTTACCCCACAAGAGATTTTTGTAGCTTTTTTGGGTAATGGAAACCCCGGTTCAGGGGTGGAGGGTGTCTGTCTCTGTTTGGAGGAAAGGGGGCGCCTTCTGCATGCCTCCATTTGCTTAGAATCGCAAAGCAGCCCATTGCCCGCAGAGGGTCCCTGCCGTTCTCAAGTTTGACCAGAAGATGGCAGTGTTGGTCCAAGGACGTGCGTCCCGGGTTCCCGGGGATGCAGGCGCCGCCGCAACTTCTGCGCTGCAACGTCCCGCATCCGAGCGGCCCATCTCTAGGTCCTTCCTTGGATCTCACTTCTAAGAGTCCGTGGTGACCTGAGCCCAACGCCCACGAAGGAAGAGGGAACAAGCCTAACTCTCCGCGGGGGGTGAAGGACGGTCACCCACCACCATCACCCCCAGGAGCGGGTCAACCGGCTGGCGGGGACCTCGGGAAGGAGGAAAACAAACGCGGCCATCCCCAGCCAGCAATCAAAGCCGATTCCGGAGCAGGCCGGGCGGCCTGGTATTCTTGCATCTCAAGGGTTTCCGCCCCTTCGGGGAGGGGTCCGCGCAGGCGATGCGCAACCTATTCGCGCGCCACTGTCACCCCCTCACCAACACCCCTGGCGGGTCCCGAGACGACCGCGCAGCCCCAGAACCGCGCGGGCTGATTGAAAAAGACTGTTCCCCGTTGCACAATCAGTCTGCGTCGTCAAACAAACAAACAGCAACAGGCGGCCTGCGCGGCGGGCCACTGGGGAGGGGAGGGCTAGGAAAACCAAACTTGAAGACTTCTACACACACACACACACACACACACACACACACACACACACACACACACCGCCCACCTACGAGTGCCCAGGGCCCTCCATCCTCCTCCTGGCTCTGCTAGTTCCCACCCTAAAAGACGCCCCCACCTTCGTGTGCAAGCACGCCCGCTCCAAGAGCGCCCTTCGCCGGCCCGGCTTTGCACGGAGCCCGCGAAGCGCCCACGGAGACCCGCGCTCGTCTTCCTATAGAGCCCCAGGGGTCTCGACTTTGCTGGAGGCGGGAGGGGTGGGGGGTGATGGAACCCCGTCCAGGGGGCCGCTAGATCCCGCTTCGCAATCCCGCCAGGGGGCGCCGCAGCCCCGCGAATCTTACCCCTCTCGCTGGCTCAGCTCTGCACGGGCAGCGGGTCCCCGACAGCGCAGTCCCGACCGCTTTGCAGGCGAAGTTCCGCCCCGCGCGCGCGGAACGCTCCTGCCACCGACACCCCTGCACGGCGGGAGCCGCCCCCTGCTTCCCGGGGCTCGGGAAGCCCTGGGGTCCAGTAGTTCCGACGGTCCACTCCGGGGGTCCGCGCCCCGGCCGCCGAACTCTTGACCTCAGAGCTGCTCGGACCGCTGAGTCCGTCCGCAGCCTGACGCAAGGCGTTTTGCATTGTTTTCAACCGAAAACCTGAGAGGGGGCCGGACGGGGTGGAGGGAGAGGGGCCGGGAGGGGTGGAGAGGGATGGGGTTTAGGGTTACAACCGCGCGCCAGCGCCTCCTACAGGCCCTAAAGCACACGACGGCTGGCAGCGGCTGCAAGAGGAGGCTAGGACCAGTCTAGACTACGCCCCCCTCGGTTTTTTAAGGACCAGAAGTTCCACCAGCGGGTGCCCACCTCCCCTCACTCCTCCCCACCTAACCCCCCCCCCCAACACACACAAAACACCCCTAGTCTGGAGCTCGCCTTAGCGGCGTCGGCCCAGCGCCTCTCCCTCACTTTTGCAGGGTGGCTCAGCGCGTAGAGAAAGGAAACGTCCGAGTTCCCTTTTCCCCCTCCTTTCCAGTACTGTTTGCAAGACTCTAGACCCAGAGCCCAGTTTAAAACAAAAGGACATGCCTCCGAGTCCTAAAGCAAAAGACAGCCCGGTAGAAAGCGGGGAGCCGCAGAGGTGCGAGCGATTTGCCCCCGGCCCCGGGATGGGTGGGGGGTCAGAGAAGAGGGTGGAGGGCCCGAGAGACATTCCACGCTCCATCCCGGACGGTTGGTGCTGTTGCGCGACCACCCCGGGCGGGAGACGCCGACGCCGAGCGCCGCACCTTTTCCGTTACTCTGTGGGCTTGAAGCGCTCCCCTATCCTCGCCACTTTTCCATCCGCGACGCTGAGCTCTGTCCCAGCTCCCCGGAGACCAGAGGGGGCGTCCCACGCTCTGGGTTCAGCAGCAGGAAGGCGCGGGCCACCACGTCCCCAGGCCGCATCCCGGCCCCGCGCGCCGCCCACGGCCGGTCCCCAGGAGGCACAGGACTGGCCCGCCTCGGCGCCAGACGCGTTTGCAGCTGGAAAGCCCGGCCCGACGCCCCTCCCCCTGCACCCCTCCCCAGCTCCGGGCCCCGAGTAAAATTCACCCGGGGGCCGGGATCGGGGCCGCGGATCTGGGTCACTCTCAGTTTTGAGAGTTGAGGCGAGGACGGTGGGTGCGCTCCCCGGGGTGCCTTCCCTCGCAACCGTCCCCTTTCTGCTCTCGAGACTCCAGGCCTGTCGTGGAGTCCCGCTACACTTGGGTCGGACCAAAAGCCAGAAACGAACGCAGGGAGTGACGGCGTAAAAGGGCCCGTCCGGGAGTTCCAGAGAGAGAGAGAGAGAGAGAAAAAAAAAAACCCTTTTATCTCGAGAAGCGCGCAAAGGAGCCAGCCAGGGTTGGGGCGAGTGGTTAGGACGAGCCGGGGCAGGAGCGAGACGCAAAGCGGTATCACCAGGGTCCGCGAGGGTCAGCTTGGGGTGGTGGTGGTCGTGGGGGGTGATAAAAAGTAAAATGAAAATAACAGAGCCAGCTCGCCAAAAAAACGAGGCCAGTAAATCCAGAGTATTGAGCAACTCCGCCGCGGAGCCAAAAAGCCATTTCCCACACCGCTCAGCCCGGACTTTCCAAGGCAGCGGGGACAGTCGGACTTGATCCGGGCGCTCCCCGCTCCCTCTAGAGCCCTGGTGGGTCGCTCCCCCCCGAGATGCTAGGGACACTCGGTGTGCACACGCTACAGCTCGGCAAAGCCCGAGGGAGCGTGCACGTCGCTCTCGGGCGGCCGGAGAGGGGGGACCACCGCCAGCCCGCCGGCCAGTCTGGATCCCAGGCCCCTGGCTAGCGGCGCGCACACACCTGGCCGGGCGGCCCGGGCTCCGGCCCTGCGGGACACACTCCGAGCTGGCCGAAGGACTCGTTCGGAAAAGAACCGCTGTGCACCGGGTGGGGTCCGAGCCAAGGGGACGCCGGCCGCCCCGCTCAAGAGTCGTTCATCTGTGTAGAAAACCCGATTTCCAGGTGGGGGGACAGACGGTGGGGGAAAGAGGGGCGCAAGGCCACCGATCCGGAGCCCGCCGGGGCCCTGCGCGGAACAACCGCTGTGCGAGCGCCACGCATCCTCGCCTCGGAACTCGGCGCTCGGGGACCCGGAGAGGTGGGGCGGGGGGGAGGGGAAACGAGGCGAGGGAGGCTGGCTCCCTGTCCGTCTTACCTGCCAGCGGGTTTTTGGGATCCGAGCCGTGTCTAACTACCCCTCAAAAAAGTTTGGTACTTTTCTGGCGACTACTCTCTTCCTGCTTTGTAGCAGCACCGCCCGAGGCTGTTCCAGAAACAATTCCACGGAGAAAGGGGGCGCGCAGAGAAAGAGTAGGGGTGGGGTGGGGTGAGTGAGACCCCCCCAAAAAAAACAATGAGGGCCCCTTGGAGGACAGCCCGAAATTCCTCAAATCCCAGTTACTGGAATGCGAGGCGACGACGACTTCTTCACTCGGGCCCAAATGTGTTTGTCATTATTCCAGACCGCCCGCCTGCGCCGCCTTCGCCCCCGCGCTCAGGGGGCGCACCCCGAGCGCACCACGGGGCTGGCGCCCGAGCTCCAGGGCAACGCAGAGGCAGAGAAGCACCCGGACCCGAGTCCCAGCTTGCGTCGCCTCCCGGCCGGGTGCTGTGGCGGCCACCGTGGAGTTAGGTCGGACCAGATCTTGCAACCCGCTGCAGCGCCGTCCAGCAAGTACGCGCCCTCCGCCCGCGCCGCGCGCACCCAGCGGGCATCCAGGGTCCGGCCTCCTCCAGCCGAGCCCTTCACGCCTCCACAGCCTCGCACCCCCCACTGCGCGCCCCACTCGGCGCCCTGCCCTCCCCACCTCCCGCGGTCCGCCCGCCGCGCCCCTCAACACCCGCTGCAGAGCTGTCCCGCCAAACCGCCAGCCCGGAATGAAAATACTCATTAAAAACCTGTCGCCTTGCTAGACCCACCGCCAAGAAGAGGGCAAGCATCTCCGTCCCCATTCTCAACATTGCTGGGTGCTTGTTCCAGTAGGCAAGAACAGCAACCCCCCCACACACACACACACACACACACACCAGTCCCCAAAGAAACCTCAAAAATGTCAAACCAAACCATTTCTTTGGGAGGCCATAGAGTTGTTGGAAAAACATTACTTTTAAAAATAGACCTTTTAAAAAGAATTTTTTAAACCCTAGACTTAGAACTCGACAGTTATCTAAGTTCTGAATTTCCCTTCAAGGGAAATTTAGTCAAAATAAATTATCTTCTGGGCACACAACAGGAATACAACTCCAGTTGGGTTTTTTTGGTTTTGTTTTTGTATTTTTTTTTCCTCATTGCCCGAAGTTCGGGCGAAATTTACTTCACTTCCAGTCCAAAAGGCCTGATCAGAGACTTCTTTGCTCAAAAACAAATGTCCCCCCCCCCCTTACCTTCTTCTCCTCCTATGTGAGTTCGCAATGAAGATCCTACATATGGAGTCAAAAGCTTGTCCACTGCCCTCGGGTCCTCTCCTGTCGTCCCCTCCTCTGTTTCTCTCCCTCAAGCGCCAACCGTAATGGGCTCAAAAACCGCGTTTTGTAATTGATTCAATGTTATAGTCCATCCTTCTAAAACTAATCATTTGCTCTAAGTAAATAGCTGTCAGGAAATGAAGCCCCCCCCCCCCCCCTCCCACCCGGCCTCTTCAAAATAAAAGTTTCCCTCGAACTCCGTATGCTCTCAATCGCCTCCCTCCAGATTGCGCCTTGGCTCTTTGCTCTTACGCAATCAGGGGGTCTAGCCCCAACCCCCAGACTTCGACAACAACTGGGGGGGGGGGGGCTTGAGGCGGGGAGAAGCCGACCAGATGGGGTGGGGGTGGTGGAACGGGGCCGTGTTGATGTTCTGTCCGAGGGGGGCGCGGAGGTTCGCGCAAATACCAACTGCCCATCATTACCAGAATGAGTTTGACTTCTCCTTTGGGAGATATTTTCCAACGCTGATATATTGTTTTTGTGTTGGCTTTGAAAGGGAGAGGAACGTGTATACTTTTTTTTTTTTTTTTGCAGTGAAGGCCCCGAGAGAGAGTGGATAATGTGAAATTGAGAAAAGGGTCCTTTTGTTAAGTTTAAAAAAAAAATGCTCTGGCTAGTACTGGGGTCTTCTGAGCGCTGTCTCGGAGTGGGCGAGTGAGTTTGGACGCGGGCTCGTGTCGTGCCCGGGAAAGTGTGGGGCCGCCGCTAATCCTCTAATAGGATTAGGCAAACTGTTGAGCCCCCGGCGAAGATGATGAGGGTGTGCGTGTGTTTTTTGTTTATGGAAAGCGGGATACAAAGAATGGTGGGGCTGGATGTTCTCGACACCACGACCTTTCCCTCCCTCCGACTCACTTATCTCGGCGAGTCTTTGTTTTCGGGCTATCTGCGCGAGGCGGCCCTGGCTTCTAATCACGCACGCAAAACGGTTCTGGCCGCGGCGTCGGTGGGGGTGGGGGTGGGGGGCTGGAGAAGCCCACCCGCCTGTGTCCAGACCTCCCCCCACCAACACAGACACCCCACCCCGCATCCCGCCGCTCGCTCGGACCCTACCCGGGGGAGCAGAGGCAGGAGAGCCCAGCCCCGAAGCTGCGAAGAGGAGAGATGCCGCGGGCGAGGGCAAGGGGGCGCTGACGCTCCAGGAACGGGGGTCCCGGCGCCCGGGCGGCCGGCGGGCGCGGGGGAGGGGCAGGCGCGCACCGCCGCAGCCGTGGGCGCTCAGAGGGGCTCATCCCCCACCGCGTCCGCGTCCGCGTCCTGCACCTCCCCCCGCGATCTCACCCCACCCCAGCCCCCCTACGGCCAGGTTGGACCTGGCAGGAACACTGCCTGGCTGTCACTGTCCCCCCGCTTCTGTAGGGAAAGGGTGGGCGCACAGGACAGCAACCGAGAAGTGCGACTTAGGGGTGCTGGAGTCCGGCTCGGCGGCCGCAAGACTGGGGGCGCGGTGTGTGTGTGTGTTGGGGGGGGGCGTTGCGGCCAGCGGCTGCTGAGCTGGGGGCCCCGCGCGCGCGCCTCTCGGACATCTTTCAGTTGGGGTGACTCCACGGCGCACTATTACTTCCACATGTTCCTTCAGGAAATCATCGAAGGCAAATAGATGAACAGCCCCCTTGTTCGGAATGTTAACAGGATACCGTAATGTCTGGAGAAAACGGACCCCGGCAAAAGAAGAGAAAGAAAGTCCGAGTGCGAATCCTAGGGAAATAACGGACTCTGACTTTTCGTGCTAGGAATAAAAAACAAACTGAATTTTAGATTTTTTTTTTTAAATATCAAGTACCCAAGAGGGCAGGAGGTGAGGCAGACAGAGAGCCTAGAGGGGGTGGCAGCCGTGGAAACCACCCGTCGGAGAGCGCCGGGGTCTCCCGAAGGCTGGGCCCCAGCGCTCCCCGCCCACAAATGGTAACTTCACAGCTCGTTTCGGGAGGCTTAAAGGGGCCCGAAAAGTAGGCTGGGGTGGGGGCGGCTAGGGTCGCCCTGCCACGTGAGTTTAAAACAGCCCAGAGAATGGATGAGCCCCCGTTGTCCTTCTGGTAGTAATTACCTGCCTAATTTGAATGATGCCTTTGTTATGATCATTAACAAACTTTTGCTAAAGGTTTCCATGTGTGACATTCCAGAAGGTTTAAAGGCCTGGGGAGCTGACTCCCAGGACAGCGCGTCGGTGGGGGGTGGCGCTTGGGAAGCAAATGGTTGCGGGGGGGGGGGGGGGGGGGGGCTGAGCTTTTGCCGTGTCTGGGCCCAGCTAAGATGGAAAGAGGTCAGCATCTGCCTCGCCTGCAAAAGCAAAATAAACCAGGAACCACCTCGGCGTTGGCGACCCTGGGAAAAAAAAAAATTTAAAAAGCCATTGGGAAACTTAAGCCCTGGCAGGGTCCGCAGCAACGAGGCGGGTTCGAATCCCGTGGTCCGCCCCCAGCCGCGGGTCGTTGGCTTGGAGGGAGGAAGGACGAGTCGCAGCGGACTCCCTCATTCTATGTAAGGCCCTTCCAGGGTGGCTTCCCGCCCCCGACGCTCAGGGGTCCCGGGTAGTCCTACGGCCTTCTCAGAGCCAGAGCACCTACGGCGGGGCCCTGGAGGACCGGGAACCTCTCTACGCCTCGGCTCCTGCAGGCGGTCCCATGCGCCCCTGGCAAGGCGTGATCTTTGCGGGCCTTGGGCAGCGCCGGGTCCAAGTCCCCGCCCGCACTCGAGTCTGATCTGCAGCCTCTTGTGTTTTGGCCTCGAGGAATCATCCTGAGGCGAAGAATGAGAATTGGCTTCCCCAAGCCGGGAGGGTGAGCGACTGCGCCCGGGGAGTCCCTGGCTCCCTCGCGCGTCTGGGCCCTAGACGATTGGGGAAAAGATGGGGAGACCGGCGAGCCGCGGGGGGGCTCCAGCGCCTCATCCAACATCTGGGCCCGGAGGCGACAGGAGATTAGCCACAAGCATCTGCAGGGTGTAGGAGGACCCCTTGTCCAACGAGGGCGCGCAGATTTCTCCGAACCAAATCAAAATAGTCACCTCCCAACTTCCCTGCCCCGGGCCCGCCCCCTGCCCCCCTCTTTCGGGTCCCATCAGGGCCTGTGTGGGCGCTTCCCGCTGAATTGACTTTTGTGGGGTGTTTTGCTCTACATGTTCATGGAAAAGGTCCCTTTGCCTTAGAACGACTTACCTGGCCTTTCCGAGCCTTTGGTTGTGGGGAGTCACAGAAAAACACTTGCAATTAAAAAAAAATTTTTTTTAAAGGCTTGTTAGAGGGCAGCACTCTTGCAGCTTCTTGAAGGCTTGTTTGTAGTTGGGTTGGGGGGGGGGCGCTTCGCTCCCAGCACCCCTCCCGTACTTTGAGCACCGCCCCGGAACTCCGTCCGCGGGGGTCCTGGGAGAAGACTTGTGGAGGTGTGCGCTGATGCGGCCGCCACAAACCTCGCGCGCACTGCGGGTGCTCACAGGCCTGGTTGAACCTCAGTCCCATCTGCTGGGGAGAGTCTCCCCAAAGGGTCCAGATTGCGTGGCTTGGGGGCGGTGGTGCAAACGAGCTGGTACGCCCCTTGGAACGCAGGCTGTTTGGGAATTGGGCTCTTCTGCTCTTCTTGGGACTCTCGCTGCGGATTGTCCCAGCGGAGAATCCTGCTGGCCTCCTCCCGCTGTCTGGGTACCAGTGGCTTCTCCGTGGCTCCTTCTTGAGGCTCAGGCCCCCATCTAGGCCCTCCTCCCCTGACCTACCCCCCACTTTCGTGGCCGGCCCAGGCGGGTTTAGACTCTTCAGAGCTGTGTCTTGTGGGCCCCCTTTTCCCTCTGCAGAAAGCCCCACTTCCTCAATCGACGGATATTTTTGTGCTGCCTCCTCCCTGGTCTTGTCTTGGGGGCTTAGTGTTCGGGAGTTGGGTGACTTTTAATTTGAAAGTCCTAGGAAGGGCAGGGGTGGGGGCCGGGGAGATTGGGAGGTCTGCTCTTTATTAGGGGCCTACCCTGGCCAGCTTTCCAGCGCACAGCTGTGGCTTGGGGCTGGCTCTGTTTAGGTCAGCCTGACAGAAGAAAGAGCCTGGCCCTCTGAGCCCAGGAGGACAGCAGGCCCTATGATGTTAAAAAAAAAAAAATCCATCAACAACAACTTCCAACTGAGCTATCCTGATGTGGAAAGCTGTGGTAACTTGGATTGCAATGACAACAAAAACAACTGCAACCCTTAGAGTTAGAATAGGAGTCTGCTTCTTCAGATCTTATGTAACCTCCGAGACATCCCTAGGGGCTGTGCCCTGGGGCTCTGCCTGACCTGTCTTGGTGTCCCTGTGTGTGAAGGGATCCCAGAGCTTCAGCCTCTTAGCCTGCCTGGTGCCCCTGCTCAGGGGTGAAAATGATAAGAGATGCCATGTGCAAACCTTGGAGAACAGGCTGAATCAATTGTATTTTTTTTTCAGATTAGTTTATTTAGCTGTAATTGTGGACATCTCAGACAGATCCCCGACTTTTGCCAGGGCATGTGAAAAGAATTTTTTTTCCTTAAATTTTTATTAGTGAATCAGTTGTATCTTAAGGGACTGGGAGGTGGCTAAAAGCCCTGTTTATCAGCAACTAACCTGTGTAGAGAGCTTGCTTGGGGTGCAGGAAGGCTGGTAGGGTCCCCCAAGCACCACTGAGGTCACACCCCACACCGTGCTCTGAGTCCGAAGCAGCCCCCTCACCCCCACTGGATGTGGTCCCCCAAATAATCTAGCTCTTTGTTCTTTGGGCTTTTTCACAGTTGATAAGAATGGGAGAGGAAGGGTGGAGCTCTAGGTGAACTAGTTAATCCAATGGGTCATTTTAAATCAACCACCCCAGGGTAGATGATGAGATGGGGGTGGGGTGGGGATAGTGGCAGATAAAAGGAAGCCCCCCCCTCCCCCAGGCAATGGGAGGGCTCTTTGCCGGTTCACATGAGCCCAGACAGATGGCAGGATAGTCACATACATGTGCCTGGAGACCAAGAAAAGCCAGATGACTGTCACGAGGGGCCAGTTCTGGTGACAGGTACACAGCAACAAGTTCCAGCCAGAGGCCACATGTGACGGGCTCCTGATCAG